GGGGGGGGGGGGGGGGGGGGGGGGGGGGGGGATTGGGGGATTCGGAAGACGGCAACGGCAGAAGCGATAGATCTCGGGGTTTTATAACGGTCTCTCGGATTCTACAGCAAGCAACCTTGCAGGGACACGGGCGTTGAACGGTCGGGTTCGCAACCAGGCGCGGGGTGGCAAGCTGGCTCACGCGAGCGGGCGCGACGCTTGGGGAACCAAGCTATTGGAAATCACCTCAACGTCTCAACAGAACGGTACGGGGTACACTAGTTAGCTTTCAGTGTGTTCTTGGATACCGCAACCTGTTCTCAGACTTGGAAACCGTGACGTCACCGCGTTGTTGCTCGTTGTCGAGGATCTCTCGATACGGACGCCCGCGGGGATGCACAGGGAAACCGCCAACAACAACAACAACAACAACAGCGGCAACAACCACTCACATAGCGGCAAAGCCGGTCCCCATCCCCTCGAAGTGGTGCATGAGTCTGTCGATCGCCATGGAGCGGAAGGCGAAGTCCAGCCACTCAGCCGCGGCTACCGTTCCGTCCGCAGCGGGAACAGGGACCCCCGACAGGGCCATGCAGACGGCCAAGAGGACCAGCAGGCTCGCCGTTCTGTGCCGTAAAGGGGCGGGCCGGCAGAGAGAGAGAGAGCGCGCTCAAATGCTGCCAGTCGCAGTAAGTAGCCTTCGCAACATTCTTCTACCCAGAGGAACCATGTTGGATAATGCATGCACGTCGGTTTAGGGTTAGAGGTCTGCTTACCGCCTCCTTTATCTTTTGCTCAGTAATATGATTTCTCGCGGAGGCGGTCCGATGCTCTGCTGCTTTGGTCGGGTCTGCAGAATCGTGTTCACCCTTTTTGGTTGAAGGGGAAATACGGCATTTCCTCCTGGAATCATGCTTCATGATGACACCAAGCCCTTCTTGAGGGTCGTTTTTCGTGAGGGCCGCGCGATAGTAGATGGGTAGTTAAGCTACTCTGTGGCTGGCCTTCTTTCCTCCTATGTATGTGACCCGGCGGCTGGTGCATCCAGAAGTTGTGCCGACGGGTGTAAAAGTTTCAACTCCAAAACAAATGGATAAATGGGATGATAAAAGCAAATGTTCTTGTCGTCGTTGATGTGATAGTTGTTGTTGTTGTTGTCGCTGTTGTCTGCAGTCGTCACATCTCGGCAGCAAAACGTCCAGCCTTGGCGCCCCAGCTCCTCTCTCTTCCGTGCTGGTCCAACTGGTACCAGACAACTGTCGCGCCAATTGAACGCAAGACGGGGCGTGGGCAATATACGCAGTTTACGCCCGATCCGCTGATATCAACTGCGGCATCCTGCAAGACTGGGTGAATCAAGCGTGAATGTTTTCCTGTGTACATAAATCATTCGATTTCTCCGGAACGCACGGCGTGTTTGCTCAATTTACCACGGAAGTGGGAAGCCAACGACAGCAAGGGTAGCAGTTCACACCCTTTGATGCATTTTTCGTTGGCTCGAACGTAGCTACTGCTCTGCTGCTGTAGATTGCCTTCGGCAACAAAGATGGGCAACAAAGAACGATGCGGAATATTTCATCGAAAACATGAACGTAAGGGTGGTTACAAGTAATATGGCGGCCTCATGTCATGAAAAAAGTGATTTTTGCTAGATTAATATGCCAAAGAAGACCGAAGCTCATCTACAGTGCAGGTTTTACGATCTCGTTGTGCATACTTCAACCTCAAGGTAAATGGTACATACCGTGCAGCCAACGGACCTGCCGCACAAGACCACAAGATTCCGAAACAGTCAACACGCCAACACGTCAACACGTCAACACAAAAAAATCTCTCCGCAAAAACACGTCTCACCACGAAAAATGCGGGGACTGTCGCCATAATAAATAGGACGAAAACACAACACACATAGCCCACAAAAATGGGGAGCCCATGGTCTCAAAACCCGGCACACACGATGCCGCGGGGAAATAAAAAACAGATAGGGTACAAACCACTCGGAAAAAGAAAACAAAATGACAGAAAGAAAATAACAGGTACCGCACCGACCGTTCGAGAAAAGAGCCCTCGGAAACCGATCAAAATAAAACAAAAACAAAAATAAAGGAGGACGCTTCCCACACCCGCCTAAAGAAAAAATCAAAGGTTTACGTACCAGTACCAGGCACAACGCACCAGGGCATGTGAGTGACGGAGCGAACAGGACAAAGAGGCGGCAGATGGGCAGACAGCCAGATGTACAAAAACGAAAGCAAGAGCGAAAGCGAGGTCAAGGTACCCAACACACACCAAAGTAGGCAGGGAGGACATGAAAAAGAGAAACAGCACAGAGGCTGAAGGCAATACAAACGACATAAATAAAGGAGAATAGCATACAGCAGGGAGGGAAACAGGGCGCAACAACATCAACCGGTTACATAGTTCGCCACAAGAGCTGCCTCGGCCGCCCTACTCGCTTCTACAGCAGTGCCCGGTCGCCGTTTCTCCGCCCCCACCGCCGCGTCCCCGAGTCCCTTTCTCTTTGGTCCTGAGATGGCCGTACTCTCTGCTTCTGCTTCCCTCGCGCGCTGGCGCTTCGCGGACGCTTCCGCCTCCTGCCTGTGCCATTTCTTCATGAACCGTGCCGCCCCGTCCTCGACCTTGTTGTACCACCCCTCCGGGTCGTTGACGCTCTCTTTCCATTTACCCCCCTTCCTTTTCGTCTCCCATGTTGAAGGCCACGAAGTCCTCTCCTAGACGAGACACCCAGTCGCTCTCCTGCCCGCCCCGGTATCGTGCTGGTGTGAAGAACATGGGCATGCTGCTGGAGAAGGAAAATCCGCAAGACTCTAGAGTATCTTCGCGCCTGCTGCCTGCCCAGTGTGAGCTGTTATCTTTTCGTGCCCTGCAGCAGTTAGGCGTTCGGCGATGACACCCTTCTCCTTCAACCGGGCCGTCGGTCGGCCCGGTACTTGCGCCAGAAAACTCACAAAGACGAGAAAACAACATTTCAATGTGCGCTTTGCGGCTGCAAACATAGAATGACCAAACAGACAGAAGTGGCACCCTGCAACTACCACACACCACGCACTAATCGCCAAGCAAGGCTACAAAAAGCGGCACGAGAAATCAATCGGGCAGCGCGCCGCCTGCCTGCCGGGAACATGGTTGGCAACATCATGCCGGTGCTTACCGGTGAACATGAAATCCTCGACGCAGCGCATGGAGCGTGGGTAGCGTGCTGATGAGCGCCTCGTACTCTGGATATAGGGACGGATCATCCAGAAAAGTGTCCTTCCTGGTCGGCCGGGGTGGGCGAACAACTGCTGCTGCCATCCTCGTCGCGTGCGTGTGCGACCGGCGACGGAGTCTTTACCGGCATACGGACCCCACCGAGAACAAAGCGGCAGCAGCCGGTAGCGAAGAAAATGGGATGAAGAAACGGAGACTTGGAGTTGCTCAAGAGACGGAAATCGCCTTGCTCCGCCGCATGAAACGGCTGATTTAGTTTCGCCGCATCGCCCCATGCATGGCATGTGCCCGCTGTTCGCCTGTTGTGCGCCTGCACTCTGCACCTACTGAACAGCGTACGGGCCCCATGAGCGGCAACGCCCACCATGACTCTCCCTTTGCTCCTCCTCAGCAAGTGTTACTTGAAGATCTTACCCTAGTGATCGATATTTCCCTCATGTTGGCCTTCGCCACCGCCATTTACCTCCTCCGACAGAAGCTGATCACTGTCGCGACTCTCGCCCATGCCCTCTCCGTCAGTCTCATGGTTTTCACCGTGGGGCACTATTTCGAGCGACACTTGATCGGCGACATGGATGGCGTGGAAGACCTCGTGCGGCGTCGTAGGTCAGGGCGACAAGGAGCCGGGGGGAGATGGGTCGCCGGGTGGTCCAGTGCTACGTTGGTGTCGGCCGCAGCTGTCCTTCTGCTTGGTGCGTTTACATGACGGTGATCGAGGCCTTGGTACTTTGCTCCTTTCTTTTACCAGTGTTAGTACGACGAACTCGAACCATCGACTCGTCTGTGCAGCTAGAACAGTGTCTATTACATATCAGTAGGCGCAAGCCTGCCAAAGGACAACACAGCTGTTGACCTATCAAGTGTGGACACCCACAGTTCAGGGATCGAACGTCTGCTGAAAACGTCGGCATACCTCACCTACTGCTGAACGTTAGCCACACATACATGTTATGGGGGGCCTTTCTGTCCGCGGCACTAATCCAGGCGCTCTTTTACTGTTTGTTCCCCCTGTAACACGCAACATCAATCAATGAAGTCCTTCGGTTTTGGGACTGCAAAAGGGGAGGCGTCGACTGCATCGTTGGTGAATCCGCCCCGGTCCACTACCAGTGCAAAGTTAGGCGCCTTCGGTTCTTCGCGCCAGTTTTCTCGACGACGGTTATATTTGTGCACCTGTGCATCGGTGAGTGATGGAAAACGAACGAACCGCGCGTCAAGTCCACTTCACTCCTTTGCTGCCGTGTTCAGTATAGTCTACAGCTCGCCCTTCTTGGAGTATACCCCAATTTGTTTGTTCTCCGCGACGAAACAAGCTCACAATCTACGGCGAGTGATCTGTTTTCCTGTGCCGTTCGCTGTATTCGCGCAAGCGTTTCCCACGAAGAATTAATGCGGCGAGAAGATTATTTATACCGACGTCAAGTGCGCATCAGTAGCTCCGTGGAGTGTCTTCTACTCCTCTATATTGGGTAGAAATGCCCGAGAAACTCACCGCGAGAAAGCACTAGACTACAGTAGTCCTACTGCAGCACAAGCTATGTACTTGGTAGGTTGTTGTGGATTTGGACCTGACACGAACCCTACATACTGATCGATGTCGTATCTTGGCACTATCATGGGGATATTCGCGCAGGCGCAAGACTCAATGCTTTGCTTGGGGGAAGCGTTCTTCACCCCAAGGGTGGAGGCTACGCGTTAGCCGTGCTCACCAGCCCCACTCTGCTGTCGACGCTGTGCATCTCCGGCTGTGGCTCGGTTTTGCTCTACGCTATCCTGATAGAGGAGCAGGTGCGTGCCCATGCGATGCTACAGCTGCTACGTGTGTATACCGAGCAATCGCTGCATTCAAGGAAAACACGCCAACATCGTGCGTGATGCATGTTCTGGAAACATCGACCGTGCCAACCCCGGGGCTGTGTGTGGTTCTGCACATTCGGACGGTATCTCGGGGGTTCGTGGCAGCAGCCCAACAGTCAGCAACGGCCTTCTTTTCGTCGCTAAACAACAAGCGAGTGCCGGGGAGAGTGTTGGCAAAAAAATAATAGCACAAGGTGTAGTCTGGAAAAGCCCCGAATCTCGACCATACCCGGCATCGTTTACTTGGACGAAGACGAGAATAGCTTGATAACACCGTGGTGCGCGTTTTGTAGCAGGCCCTCCAGTGTAGAATACTTATCTTCACGGCGATTCCTGCAAACGCGAATGTTGGACACACATTCTACTCCCTGGTTGTGCAAGTTCCACAACCAAGCGGCTAAATCGTACCTATGAATTCTCGGGTGGTTCGGGATCGTGTTTCTCGATCATCCGCTCCGCCTATGCCAGCACCCCCAACAACACCGTCGTCGTGAACCGATCCCCACTCGTTAACGACGTTGTTGTTTTCTTTGCCGAAAGGCTAACTTTGGCAGTGCCCTCGAACGATCACCGCCGCGGGAACACCACGTCGACACTCCCGGAGCTCCAAGATCTAGGACAGCCAAGCGGACGAATAAACGGAAACCTGCGCCGGCGGCACCCTCTGACCCCGGCTGGAAAGGTCGCCCCCAACTCTACAAATTGTACTCATCGCCAATGAGCCTTCCGCACAGTTTCCGCTACGACACCCGGCCATCCTCTGCGCCGTCGCCGAGCGAGGTTAGCGGGTCCGCCCCTGGGTTCGAAACCTCACCGCTGTCGTCGTCTATTCTCCCGGGGGGCAGCCGACAGTTTGGGGTTGTAAGTGATTGCGATGGCGGTGTTGCTGCTGGTCTCAGCAGGAACAACTGCCCTACAGCGGACCAAGACCGGGTTATGCATTCTCCGCCTTGTCCGTCGTTGCCGATACGGCTTGCGGGGAACGGCGGCGGCGGCGGTGGCGGAGGCAACAGCAGCAGTAGTGGCCGAGGCAGAGGCAGGGGGGATACCGGGTGGACCTTGTCTTCGTCTTCTTCATCGCCGTCAATGGAAGGGCGGGACGGGAGAGGGAGAACGGGAGACGGAGTTGATGGCCACCGTAGAGACGGACACGGTGCCAGAAGTAACGGCAGCAGTAGCGGTGACAACGGCGGCGGCGGTAATAGCAGTGGCAGCGGGGTACTCGGAACGAGGTTGACAACGGCGACGTCGACGTCACTCGTCGAGAAGATTCCTTATCATTTAGGGTCTTCTCCGCACCCGTCCATATCTCCTTGTTCTCCCGCATGTACACGCTCTTCCGCACCTCGGCTGCGGAAGCCTGCCTGGGGGATATCCTTTCCCCTGACAAGTAGCAGTAGCAGCAGCAGCAGCAGAAGCAGCAGTAGCAACAGAAGCACCAGGCGGAGCCATGACAGCAGTGCGAGTGCTAGCAGTAGTGATGACAACGGCGGTAGCCCTTCATCTTACGGCGAGGAACGGTATGACGGCGGGGGTGCAAGGCACGGGGCCAACGGGCGCGGCAGCAGCAGAGAGGAGGAAGAGTGGAGTGCAGTCGGTGGTAGCCAAAGTCGGCGGAGAACGAGGCCGGCGCCGGCTGCGAGAGAATCACGGCAACCGTTCGGGGATCGAGCGGCAAGCTCAGGTAGTAGTGAGCCCTTTGACGTGAGTCGTGGCGTATTTGGTGGCGGTATTATTCGTGCCGGTTTGGGCACGGGTGGCCTTCGCCGTCGTCCACAGGGGTGGGGAGCTTGAGAAACAAACAAAAAGAAACGTCGTCCAACCGAACCTGTTGGCGACGACAAATTGATTAAACTTTGGTTGAGCAGTACAACAGTACGGAGGAGAGCTTAGACGGATGATAAAATAAAAACCCAAGCCGTACGTGTTTCGCGGGCGAGGAACGGCTGGATGTGCCAGCAACGCCTACGGAGACTGGGTGATCTCCACAATGCTTATCATGACGAGACCCGAAACCCCGTGGTCACAACTACGACATGGCAATGGCTGTACAGGTTTCCCAGCCGGCCTCATCGCATTTCCCAACCATGGAGAACGGAAGTGCTGCACCGCGGTAGTTCTCGCGCTGAGTAGAGAAGCGGAATCTCTACCCAACGATTGCGAGGAAAACCAAGGAAAACCCGCACTACAGTAGGACATCTTGCGCGGTTCTTTGCCTCGATGTAAAATGACCGCGCTCCGAGAGCTGTCCCTTTCCCTTGCGGGTGGGGTTTCGGCCTTCTCTCGCCGAAGGCGGGGTACCGGGTGCATCACCCCGCGCGTTGTCGCCCACGGAGCAGCAAAATGACTGGACAAGGACAGCTGGCACAGTCCTAACCCAGCCCGAAGTCCTGTCAACTTAGAGACCCTGGGCGTGCCCCGCACCCCACGAGCATGTCGTATATGGAACCATAATGGTACAATTTTATTGGAGCTTGTGTGATGTCGTGGTACCTGAGCGTTGGGTATTGGTGCCCGTTGCTCAGGACGAAATACATCAGCCACGCAAAAGAGACCACACCACATGATCCGTTCCAAGCGCAAGCTTGTTTTGTCTGATATCTGTTCTAGAGTCTTCAACGTTGCCACATGCCTACTGTACCCCGTACGTATTTCGTCAAATCAAACACCATGAAACGCATGGAATAACCACACAAAAACCGTACCTAGCTCAAGAAAACTAGAATCAAAACATGATCCCAAAGGCTGCCTATGGAAAAACAAGAATGCAGCACAAGATTCTCCCATCGCGGACGAAACGTTTTCCCAGAGCGTGGATGCCGTCTGAATTATTCGGCAGTTTCAACACATCCCACGGTCAACGCTGGTTCGTCACATGTATGCACACGCCAGAGGCAAGGGTCGCAACCGCACTGACCAAGCTGTTGCGCCGCACACAGCAGTCCCACGAGAAAACACTTACAGGGGAGCTAACACAAATGACTCTCTTAGAGAAGCATAGGAAAACACCCGGACCACACAAGCACGGCACAAAGGGCCAAACAACCCGACCAACAATCATTCCAACAAGCCCCTGCCCCCTGCAAAATACGGCACTCTTCAGGTGCTATTATCTTCTACATCCACAACGGGAAAAAACAAAAAAAAAAAGCCAAACTACTTGCCCTTGTTCGCTGGGTTGTCCGGGTTGTTGTACGCCATTTGCGCGTACATAAAAACTTCTGACATGAGAGTCTGCGCGGGGAGAACGTGCGCCCACCACTTTCTCACCGTACCGTCCGCTGCGGGACAAAAAAAAATAACCGGAACAAGGTCAGAGAGAATACAATACGGGGGGCGGAAGGGGGAGACACAACGGACAAGTTGTTGAATCAAATAAAACAAACACAGGGAGAGGGTGAATGCGCCCGGCGTAAGCGTATGTGCTGTGTCGTCATCTGGGGGCAACCCCCCCAACTGGGGGAGATACCCTTTTGAATTCGGCGTGCAACAATCGCAAGGGGCGACACAGAGACAAACGAACAAAGAGGGCGTGAACAGAGGGAATCGTCCTCGACAGACGTCGGGGGATCGTACACAAGACAAAGAGGATCTCAACAAGGAGCACAATTATACTACACCTGCTGGAATTCATATATGGTTCTCCTACATGATTTACTTGTTCAGATATACTGTACATAGGTCTGTGAGTTTTATTTTTTGTTTGTGCATTTCATGGTTTTCAGTTTGAGGGACGAAATATCGATGCGCGCCGATTCACAAAAACAACAGGGACAGGGGTCACGGGTCAGAAGAGAGTGCAGCAAGTGTTCGCGGGGTTTTGCTTTCAACAAGAAAACCTGTCGAAAAACGACGCGAGCCGCCCCACCTAAGGGGGCACAGCATCGAAGCGCGTTCGCGCTAGGTATTGTAACCGCCCTTCTCCTGCTGCTCATGTTGCCACGAAATTTCTGCACACACGAAGCGCTCACCGTAAGTCGCTTCCACCATTGGCCAGCACGCCTCGTACTTATATACTCCCACGATCTTTGTGTCCGGGCTTGCGCTCGTCAGCTTCAAATCACACACACAAAAAAAAGCAGAAACATGGAGGACAAGATGCACGATGTGTTCAAGGCGTGAACCGAAAAGTAGATACTACACTTCCCAGCACGGACAGAGGCATCACCATATCGGTAGAACGTCCTGGGGAGCGGGGGGTGCTGGGTTTCTCGAGCTTAGAGACGCCCAGAGAGATGCAAGCAACATAGCGACCACTTGTCGCCTATTCAGCAGTACGAGCGGAGCTGAAACTTACCGGCGCGATTGCGCCGAAAGCGTGGATTGCTTGTACAGCTCGACACCAGAGTCTCGCGAACGCTAAACTTCCGCTCGGAACAAGCCCGTCGTATGCCCGTCGCTGGATTGCGCCGATTTTTCCCATGAAACCCTAAATAAGCCTCCAAGTTTGCCACCGTTACCGCACTCATTTGGGGGGCCCAGAGGGACTTGTGTTGGACCACCCCCCCGGACCTCATAATACTCGAGTGGCAGGGAAGAAGAGAGACAACATAGAAGGGGCAAAAAAGAACAAACGGGATGGGACAAAAACAAGGAGTCTCACCACATTGGATTGGAGTCTTCGTAGTACATCCCTGTCGTCGCGTCCCCCACGCGTGGCACAAACACGCCCCCGCCGATGGATCATGTACAATTGAGGGGCGGGAGGCGAACACGAAGGCAAGGGCAAGGGCAAGGGCAAGGGCAAGAGCAAGGACGACAGCCCAGGGGGGAGGGCACAGAAAATATCAGCCCAGCGTGGGGGGGGGGGGGGGG